ACTAGCTGTTGGTTAGGTTCTGTTTGAAACACCTTAAGGGATAAGAAGGAAAAGCAATGTTGTGCCATGCTGAATAAACCCCCTTAAAAACAAGAAAAAAATATAAAGCTGTACATGAGCTGGAACTTTGACAGAGAAGGAGTACACTTGTTAAAAAAGGTAGAAAACCCTTGCCCTAAAGAATCAAGTCAAACATTAGGCCTGTGCAAATAGGGAAGTTTTTGATTTGGATGCCAATTTTGGAGGACAATGATTTGATTCAGTGATTCGAATCATTGTCCTCATTCAGTTCAGCCAAATCAGAATCAGAGAGTTGGTGCTGATTTGGCACTGATTCGGAGATTCAGATCGGCCGGGGAGAGGCAGGCACAGCTGGGCCAAGTAGTGGGGGGACAATCCCTGCTGCTCCCCACTAAACCCATGCTGTGTGGGGGGGCTCTGCCACAAGCCCCCAGAGGCCCTGATCACCCCTGCTACAGCCAGGGGATGGGGCCAGGCAGGGCAGCCATGGGGGCTTCTCTTGCAGCTCACCCTGCCTGGGGAGAGGCAGGCACAACCAGAAGAGCCATGGGAGAACCTGCAGTTGCCCACGTGTGCCTGCCTCTCTCCGGCCGATCTGAATCTCTCTGAATCTTTTCCGAATTGATTTGGAGGCTTCAGATTAGATTCGGACTTTTTAATGCATCTCCCAATTTGATTTGAATTTAGAGATTTGGCCGCCAAATAGGGGCCGAATCTCCTCCGAATTGAATTGGCGACCAAAGCTTCACACAGCCCTATCAGGCATTCAGAAAGTGAGAATTAGTGACTACCTATGACTTAACCAGAATCACACAGGAATTGTGGTGGAAGAAGCTGTAGAAAATCCACTTCTCTAGAAAGCCGTTCTGTCTTAGGCATGGGACTGTCCTTTCTCTTCCTGCAATCGCCTGCTGCATTGACTGCACACTCTCCTGTTTCTGCAACAAATGAGACAGGAGTCATGCAGACACAGTAGCATCCCTTATTTCACAGTCCTAATTTGTGCCCAGAACACATTGATTTTGTGAACAAAATGAGAGAGAAATCCAGTAGAAAAATACTATCTGGTGACTCAAAGATCATATTGTGATGCATAGACACAAGAAGGACAAATTAGGAGTACATAGGCAAACTTTATTCTGGAATATAGTTTCATAGTTTCTAGGGTCAGAAGGGACCTGA